CGCCGAGCAGCCTCGTGCTGCTGCGGGCCGGCGCCCCGGTCGGCGACGGCGACGGCGTGCTTGAGGCCGCAATCTCCGGCACGGTGCGCGACGTCTTCTCGTTTGCGGTCCGCTCGGCGGACCGTGGCGCCGTCTCCCGTTCGGTGGAGCAGCTCTCGAGTCGGCTGCTGCGGCACGAGATCGGCCGCCTGCTCGGCGAGCTCAACGGCACGGAGTGCGCCGACGCGCCGCTGCCCGACCCGCCGCCCGGCGGCGCGGCCGCCTCCGCGGCGGCTCCCTCCCTAGCAGGTGGAGGGTGTGCGGGCGAGGCAGCGGCGGAGGCGCTGAGGGAGGCGGGCGAGGCGGAGGGGGCTTTCCCCGAGGCGCGAGCGAAGCAGCGCCGCAAGTGGGCCACCCTCGCCAACCGGGTGGTGCGCGCAGCGGGGCTCGAGGGGCTGGACTTGCCGGGAGAGGTCGCCGCCGTCACCGTGGTTGCGCCGCTGGCGAAGCCGACGCCAGTCGGCATTGGCGTGGGCGACGTGAGCTTGAGCGGCCTCGACACGGCCGAGGAGTTGGGGCTGACCGTCGCTGAGTGCGGTGAGGGCGGCGGCGGCGGCGACAACGCCGGCGGCGGCGCGACTGTTGCCGGTGAGCGCGGGAGCTTCGCCGCAGCGAGGCCGTTCGAGCTCGGGATGACGCTCCGCGTCTCTCTCCTCGGCGCGACGCTGCGTTGGCGCGCGAACTTCACTGCGAGCGCCCTCTCCGCGGCCGCAGCAGAGGCCGTCGCCTTCTCCGCGAGACAGCTGGAGAGGCTTTCGCTAGCCGACTTGGCGTCGCCGTGCGCGCTGTCTCCTCTCCACGGGCTGCGGCTTGACGCCCTCGGCGCAAGCGCGGAGACCTTCCAGCTTTCATTGACGCCTCTCCCCGACGGTGGCGCCGACGGCGGCGTGGGCGGCGGCGCCACTTCGACGCTCTCCACAGCCTTCCTCGGGCAGTTGCTGGGCGCCGTTAAGCCCGGCACGGTCGAGGCGGTGAACGAGGCGGCGAGCGGGCTGCTCGGCAGCGCGCACCGTGCGTGCGCCAGCGGCGACTGGCCGCCGTCTCCCCCGGAGTCGCAGGAGGAGGGGATGCCGGAGCTGGCGGTGCTGTGTGGCATCTACGGCACCGCCCTGGCGATCATCGGGCTTGTCGTGTGCGTGCACGTCTGTGGCTCGCCGCGCAGCGCGCTCCCGATCGGCGACGAGGAGAGCGCGGCGGAGGACGCAGCCATCGTCGACTACTACCCGCTCTGGTACGGCCGGCTGCTGAGCGGGCTGCTGCTGCTCAACATCGGCCTCTTCCTGCTCGCGAACTCGCCCCTCGTCGTGGGGGCTCTGGTGCGGGCGAACGTCTCCGTCGCCGGCGCGCCGCTGCCGCCGCTCAACTCGTTCCAGTTCACGCTCGCCGAGTCGGTGATCCGGTTCTGGCGGACGGGCGGGATGGGGTTCCTCCTCTCGTCGCTCATCGCCGTCTACTCGGGCGTCTGGCCGTACGTCAAGCTCTCGCTCACCCTCTTCTGCCTCTGGGCGCCGCCGCGCGTGCTGCCCGAGCGGCGGCGCAACGCGATGCTAGGCGTCTTCGAGGCGATGGGCAAGTGGTCGCTGATCGACTCGCTGATGATATTTATTTTGATGGCGGCCATGAAGATGGACTTTGACATCCCTCCCGCCGACGGCGCCGCCAACGCGACTGCCGCCGCGCACGCTGCGGGCGCCGCCCCGCCGGTCGCCTCGGTGTCGGTGGAGGTGATGCCGACGGGAGGCATCACCCTCTTCACGCTCGGAGTCGTCCTCTCCCTCGTCCTGACCGCTGCAGTCGTGCACATGCACAAGACGCTCCGCCTGCCCCACCACCACCCGTCCGCGC